TGCACCCGGGACAGCCCCTGGCACCTCACCAAGCTGCCCGGCACGACTTTGCAATTCAACTCCAAGCCAGCGGCACCTTCTCGGGTGCTGTCTAGGGACAGGAAGGACAGAGGGACAGAGAAAAGGGTCAGGGAAGAGGACACTGGCACAGAGAGACAAAGAAAGGGACAAGCAGGACGAGAGAGAATTGGAGAAAGGGACGGGGATCAGCACAGAGGGACAGAGGGGTACCAGGACCTGGGGACTGAGAGAAACAGACCGGGACAGGGAGCAGGACAGAGATGGAGAAAGAAGAAAGAGGGATGGGGAGAAGGACAAAGGAACAAAGAGAGGGGTTAAAGAAGAGGGAGAAGGACTAGAAGGATGACAGGGGGAGGGAGCAGGGCACAGGGACAGAGAGACAAAGAGGGACAGAGGGATAGAGACAGAGAGGGACAGGGAGCGGTGTGCAAGAATACGGAGAAGAACAGAGGGACAGGGAAGCAGAAGAAATGCCAGAGAGGGAAAGATGTGGCTGGGGAGTTGGACAGAGGGTGAGGGAACCAGGCAGAGGGATGGAAAGGCAAAGAGAGAGGTGCAGGGATGAAGAACAATGCAACAGAGAGGTGGAGGCAGGGAGAGGCAGGGAGAAGGGCTGGAATGGGGAGGGGCAGGGGATGAGGAGGAGGGCAGGGACAGATCGGGATGCAGAAGAGGGAGACACACGCCCGAGCACCCAGAGCTCACTGCAGCTCCCTGTCTGAGCGCTGGCTGGAGAGTTTTACAGACACTTCTCTCTTTTTCTCTCTCTCGCGCCTATCCTCTTCTGGAGCTCCAGTCACTTGGCTGCCGTCCATCTAGGGACTATCTTGCTGTCTTACAGCTCGTAAAATAGACGGCTTCATACGTAATCTGGTGCCATACACACAAATATACGGGTTGGTCACACTTCTGGTTACACGTACAGCCCCTGGGTTACATGTTGGTGATCTGCTCGCGACAGAGTTCCTCCCCCGTAGACAGCCACAGCTCCCCGTCCAACACGGTTTATTGGACTCTTCGGGTTGTTGGGAATCTGCCCAGCGCTCAGATTAGAGAGGAGAAAACTGAGCTGAAGGTCGGGATTTTGATTTGAAGGCATTTTCTAAGCACATTTCCACCATGTCCTGGGGGTGGGTGTTAGGCAGGGTTTTCAATGATCCTTGAGGATGCAACAGCTCCACGCTGGGTCCTTCCCCCATCACCCACACGGTGGCCTGAGGAAAGGGACACAGGCACAAGGACACCTCGCTCCACACACCCGCAGCTACAGCGCAGGAGCCTCATCCCCCACCTTTCCCACATGGACATCTGTCCCTCTCCTGTGTGCCAGACCCTGCAGCCATGGCGCCGTCCCGGGGCTGCACCGCCGCACCCAGCACCGAACCTCCCGGGACGGGACGTCCAGGGACCGCTCCAGCACCACCAGCTCCGCGCTGTAACTCTGCGGTCCCAGCCGGCACCGGGAGAGCTCCTGCAAACAGCTTCCAGAGCCCTCTCTGCCTCCAGATACATGAAGCCCCAACCAATGATGCTGAACGATGGCCCCTAGCCCTTAACTGTACCCTAAACTTCAAAATCTAATCCTCTCTAAATCCTAATCCTAAATCTGCCCCCTCCCCCACAACCCCTAAACTCTAATCTGAACTTTAATTCCTAACCCTTAAACTACCAACATTAACCCAAATCCCAAACCCGAGCTCCAGTCCAAACCCAAACCCCTGATTCCAAGCCCAGCCTGAGCCCTAGCCCTTGACCCAATCCCAAATGATAACTTCAGCATTTAACATCCTAACCATTTTCTGTAATCCTAAACCCCAAACTCCAAGCCCTCACCCTAGCCCAGAGAAGTTGCAGAGTTCCCGTCCTTGGAGATATTTGAAAACCCTGATGTGCTGAATCCAAACCATAGCTCTCGATTCTATCCTCCTTCTCCTAATTTTTCTGTTCTTACATCAAAGGGAACAGTTCCAAGACATGTTTATTGTACTTTGTTTTTTTTAATCTTAACTGTATGAAGAAAGCCAAGTAGTTCAGAAAACAATTATCTGCTTTTTACAGAGATTTCCTCTCCCCCTCTCCAGTCTCCCTTCCCATAGCTTATGACAAAGGCACTTACATTGCTGGACTGGTCTCTCAAAGAACATGCTGGCTGCAGAGCCAAAAACCAGTGAAATCATTCAGTAACCAAAGAACAGAAACACCAACAAAACAGATGTCTGCAACCTGGTGTACTGATAGCATGATGCAGGCTTTTTGTCTATTACAAATGTCATGACTGCATCTCAGCTGGGAAATGTTCCAGCATAATCAGTGGTGACAGCTCAGGAAGAACCAGTTTTCTGTAACAGCTATTAAAAAAAAAAAAATATTAAACTGAACTTACAAATATTCAGGGTTATTATTGAGAATGTACTGTGTATGTGCCCTTCTCCTTTACGTACATTCATGAAGATCGTGTACAGTGTGAATATAAGCTTGCTGCAACACTGCTGGCAGCTACAACTTCTTGGTGATTTCCTTAACACATCATCTGCACTTACAAAGATTCTTTATGTTTCTAAGAACTAAAAAGAGGGATTTTTTCTGTATGTCAGATGATAATAAAAATGCAGTTTTACATGTAACTGACCCACGAAACTGCAGGAGACTGAAGACTTGTGACAGGTACAGGACAGGTTAAACGGTGTCCAACAGCACAGCTCATCCTAATCCTCTGAGCAGCGAGCAGTTTCCAACACCCAGGCTGTGGCTCTCTCAGATGCTCTAAGACTGCAGATGTGCACATGCCAGTGGGACCTGGAGTACGAGCCCCCCGGCAAAATGTTGGTGCCGGCTCCAAACATGATCCCTCACTCTCCCAAGCTGCAGTGACAATACTGACTAAATCTCCCTTGACTTAGAGGAAAGCCTAGACACTTTGTTCGGTGTACATACGTACATCACAGAAGCTTCAATATAAGCAAGAGTAAGTCCACTCTAAAGTCTTGCTGTTACAGGTCTGCAGGTTCTTCCTCCTGAACAGGAAAAACATGCCCAACTATGGCATAGGCACTCTGCTGAACTTCTCCTGCTTTCTTCTTACCTTCTGGTTCTCTCTCCAGATTCAAAGGAGCTTCTGATTGGGACCTTACCTCATGTTAGTGAAGAAGACACAGCTTGCTCTTCCCCTCGTGGACAAAGACACAGAGTCACCTGTGGCAGCGCTGATCTGGACTTCACGCCAGTGTCCACATGAGCAGCAGAATTCACAGGTCACCTTGCCAAGTTCTTTCTTTTGCTTCTTAGGTTTTCTCCCCAAGAATAAAAAGAAAGGCCAATAAAGGATGTGTGAAGCAACAACACTAGGATCACCTCCACACACTTCATTTATTCAGTTGTATGAGAGGAGAGCAGCAGGACAATGAGTGTAAAAAAGATTTGATGTCTCAGATAATTCTTATGCTTTGGGGAACTGAGTAGCATATTTTCTCTGGTTACAGAAGCTGCTCCGAAACTGTTGATTTGTTTGGTAAAGAGTTCTTTGATAACAGAAAGCTGCCAACAGCAGCATTACTGACAGTGCAGCCTTAAAGACTGATTTTTCTTTCAGCTCTTGAGATCTTATGAATAAAACTACTTCTGCAGAGACTACCAAATCCAAGCACATCTGGTACGGACAAACATGCTGGTGTTTATGATCTCGTACCATGACGAGATCAGTGGAAGTCACATTCTTTTGATAGTTCTCTACATTGATAACAGCTTGAAGCTCTTCTTTTGTACACATCAGAAATTCTCCACGCTCCATCATCCAGTGCTGCTAGTGCTCTTCACAAACCTACCATTGCTTTTAGTCCATTGCAAAACAACAACCTGGGACACAGAATAAGGAGGAAATTTGTGCCGTGAAACTTGGCCTTTACATTTCAGGAAGTCAAGACAAATACTGCCACCCAGATGCAGTTTTTCTGAACCTGCCCTGCATGTATGTGGCTGAGCTTCAATATTTGTACAAAAAAGTCCACTCAGACAAACAAATATAGCAGTGTCTTTCTGCTCCTACTTCCATATGCGTGTTTCTGGAAATTTTGTTTGGTTTGAAAAATGCTGTCTCTCCTTTCTGGTGTGTGTACACCCTTCTGTCTCTTGGCACAGCATTTTCTCCCAGCTTGATTTACACACTGTGCCGGCGGTTGTTGATCATGGCTACAATGTGTGACAGGTCCAAGCTTTTCATCATAACCTCCATGAACTCCTCGTCTTTCCTTGCTCCCTCCACAAATTCATCCAGAGACAGTTCACCTGTGTCAGACGCAGACAGAAGGCATTAGAATCATGCCAATCCACATGTGAACAGGAACAGGAGGACAGTAATCAGGCTCTAGAGACCACTCACTATACAGGCACTGTTCTAAAGCACCAAGAGGCCTCAGAGAGTCTTTTTAAGCTTATATTAAACTTCCCCAATATCCAGGCAACTCCATCTTCCTCTTTTTTCCCCCACACAAGGGAAAGGGTACATAAGAAAGAACAGAGGAAGCACGTAGCTAAGGAGTGGGATCACAGCTTCCCACAAGCAAGGCTGGGTGAGCCACCTCCTTTTCACCCTAACCTGTCACCGTCCTAACCTGTCACTGTCCTAACCTGCCCCGTACTACCTGGTTTTCATGTTTAAAATAAATGACAGAAGGCAGCTATGACAGGCAGAAATAGATTTTCTGTCCTAAGCCAAAAAGCCCTTGTGCAGGGAAGCAGCTCAGCAGAGTATGTCAGAAGGTAATGAGCACATGAAGCAGCAAGGAAAGAAGCATCTCTCAGTGACATGCAGCGACCACAGTGGTGCTGACCAGCTTCTGCCCGACCGGTCCATAGCACTTCATGTGCTTGCTGTACTGCCCATAGCAGACCCAACACTAAATTCCAGTTTTTTCCCTTCCCTGCTGCTGAAATATTTAGGAGCAGCTGGGGCCATCTGTTAATATCACTTCTAACTCTGACATAAGCTATGCAGTAACATACACACAGGCAAAAAAACCCCCACCCCACTCCACAACCCCACTATAAACTCACATGGACAGAATACAGCTGAGGCTTAGTGCAGGGAACAACTCCTGTCATACCGATTATGTATGATGCAAGGAGAAAAATGCCTTCGCAAAATTAAGGGAGGATGTGTTACTAGATGAGAATTCACGTAACAAGCAAATATAAAATGAAGAGGCATAAAGTTCAGTCAAGAAAGGAAGACATGGATGTCTCTCTGTGGCAGAGACCATCTAAGCTGGATGACAAAGACAGGAATCTTACCATCTCCATTCATGTCAATCTTGTTGAAGACTCGGTTGGTGAACTCTTCTGCACTGGTTTCATGGTCACCACCGTTAATAGCTCGAATAGCCTGAAAGAAAAGAGCAAGAATAGGAAGCTGCTTAGTGGCTCCCAAAATGACAGACTGATTCCACTGCAGCCTGCCAGCGTAGATTCAGAACAAGACGGTCATGCCTGGCACCTTCCCCGTCCAAATGGACAAGCATCCTAGTACCACGCAGCATGAATCATCAGGCCTTACAGTTCACACTGAAGGGTGCAAAGGGAACATGGTTCTGGAGCATGGACTGAGCAGTGGAACCCAGAGGATCACCCTAAATCTGCTTAGGTAGAGGTTCAGCACTGCAGAAATGGCAGAATCAGCATCCACCCAAACGACCTACCTTCTGTCACCCTGTGGTCCACCAGGTCTATGTCAAACAACCTCTGCATTTGACATTAGGAAATTCCTTTGTTACATGCTGTGGTCATTTATTTTTACTCTTCCTTTCCCTATTTCCATTTATATACTGCTTCCTGTGTGTCCTGCTTCTCCCTGAAGTTCACTGGAAATTCATTTTCAGCTTGAGAAAGTTTAAGCATCATTCACTACCGTTCACTACATCATCTTATTCATACAGTGCAGCATTCTCTTTTCTTTCCATGCCTAATTGTGCCCTGAAATTGTCTATGAAATATGTGATTCCAGAGCCTTCACATTGATTTTAAGACTACTAATTTTCTATTTTTTCCCTTCTGATATTTGGTAAGTTTCTTCATTCTTTTTCAAATGCCATTTTAACAAAACTAAGTATCACCTCTGCAACTTCCTAAGGCTGCCAAAGGAGCCACTGAACTACACCCACAAAATTTAAAGGGCAGTAAATTGGCTGCCACTAATTATCACCCACAGGACTTGTTTCTCAAGAGCTCTGTGTTAAACAATTAGTATCTGTCGCTTCACTGTAATGTCTTAGTATTTCTATTAAAATTTATTACCAGGAGGCTGTATATTATTACAGTTATTTATTTGGTTTGGTCTCTTCAATGCCCAGCACTAAAATTCACATCCAGATGAGAATGCATTACTACTACCTTATTAGTGGTTTTATTTGTGGACAGCTCAGGCTTCATATCTTTATCAAATCCATTTTCTGACCTTTCTTATTCAGAAATGTAAATCATTTGGGGTCATTGACTCTTTCCTGCATCTCTCTAGTTTCCCAGCCTCTACAGAACAATCTCATCTTCCAGCATAATTCATTCTGATGTATTCAGAACATCATGCTCATGCCTCTCATTCCAACACCACAGCTATTTGCCTACAGTCTTTTCCACTGACAGTCACTCTTCTTCGCACTATCTGCAAGCCAGAAACAATTTTATGGAGTTAGCTGTGCTGCAGCATGTGCTGTGGTGGTGAAGAAGAGTCTGTCAAGTCTGCTTACTGGACTGTGAGACTGTGGAGAATTCTGCTAAAAGAAAGAATGCTGTTGAAGAAGGTCTCATCCATGATCACCCATGTGGGGATCAGCAAAAGTCCTTACTTTGGAATTTGTCTTTAAGGAATTTGTCTTTAACGAGAGAGGAAAGAACTCAGATCCCTGGTGACTCACCTTAATGATGTTGAGCAATTCATGTCGATCAATGCAGCCGTTGCCATCTACATCATAGAGCTTGAAATACCACCGCAATTTCTGCTCCATCTTCCCACGGAGAACGAGGCTGAGAGCAGCTACATATTCCATGAAGTCAATATACCCATCCTGTGGGAAAACAAAAACAAACTGTGACAGGAACAAATTGAAGGAGTTGTGGCTCTGGAGCTGTTTTACACTATTGCTCTTTAGGTACACAGCTAAAAGAGGAAGAAAAACAAATAGCACAGAGACTTGGACTCAGGAAAAAGCTTTAGTGCACACACACACATACAGGCACGTGGGCACGTGCTACTTCTCTGGCCACCATTAAGATCCCCTAAATACTTGAATTCCTAAAGTTATGATCCGTTACATGTCTAGGTTACCCTGTGCTCGCCGCCTGCAGAGATGGAACCTGTCACTCCTCACAGCCACTGTACATGGACGCCCCTCTGCCACCAGACCTGACTGCCTACAGCCTGCCGGGAGAGAAAACTGATCAGAGCCCTGCCTGCAAGAGAAGTGGAAGGTAACTCTGCCTTAGGCTTTCCATGCTAGTCTGCTTTGTCTTTGTGGGAAATTACTGATACTTCAGTAAGCCACAGATCTCTTGTCCTGGGTCCAGCTGGGATAGGGTTAATTCTTCACAGAAGCTGGGAGTTGGGCATAGCCGGATATTCGATACCATGCTGACGTCATGCCCGGGATATAAGGGGAAGCTAGCCGGGAGAGGGCTCTCTTTTGTGAAGCTCGTGGTGGTGAGATTTTCATTGTATCAGTGTTTCCATTGTACTCTATATACTGTCTTATTGTTATATTCTCCTTTCTTTGGTTTTCCTCGTGTGGTATTATTAAAAATCTGTCGTTATCTCAACTCACGAAGTTCCACTTTTTTTCCTATCCCTCCCTATTTTACCGGGAGGGGAGTGGGAGGGGGGAGGCGGTGTTGCGACCAC